ACCTGTGCTCTACATGTACGGAGTCAACTCAGACGAGTGTGTGTGCACTGACTTAATTTAACGATTGCTATGTAGGTGGACTTCTGACTTTGTTATAACAGATGTATCTTCTGATGCATGAAATAAATCCTTGCTATCAAGAATCTTACAAACCTGGAGCCCTGTGGTGGAAAGGCCAAACCTGAAAAATGACTCAGGAAAGCAGGTGCAACCTGCTGTGGGCTTTGAGGAAGCTCAGACCTCGTTGGGAGATGCAGGCTCGACTGCGGAGGGCAGCGTTTGACACGGACTGAACGGTGTGGAGAGTCTCACGGCGCAGGGAGGGAAAGCGGAACCTGGTAGGATTACATGCACTCGAGTAAAGGGACGCATGCGGACCCGGGGGTGCTTTGCCAGCGCTCGGCGGCGAGCAGTGAGGGGTGTCGGGGAAGCTTACGTGTCGAGGTGGCGAAAGGTGAGGCAGCGAAGTGAGTCCCGAGTCCCCGATGCTCGGGCCTTGCAGGGAAGCAGACCGCGTTGACGTGGCCACAGTGCGGGACGACCGGGGATGGCGACACTGAAGGCGTCTTGCGAAGCGACCACGGTGTGTCCGGAGAAGCAGCATCGACCATGGGGGGGGGCGTTTGGGGACATTGCAGAATGTCACCTGTAGGAGTTGGCAGCTAACAGGACACAGAGGCGAGGGGAATTATGGAAAGAGCTCAGCCCATCAATGCTGCAACAACGTACATTAGACTGGGTCGTTTATAGACGATGGGAATTCATCTTTCACGGCGAAGGCTGGGAATTCCAAGACCCAGGGGCGGGAGACTCAGTGTCTGGGGAGAGCTTGCGCCCGGCCTCCGCGGTGGCACCTTCTGGTTGCGTTCTCATGTGGCCGAAGGGGCAGGAGGGACAAAGGACAAGGGGTTGAACTCGCTCCCTCCAGCCTTGTACAGGGGCACGGATCCCGTCCGCAAGGGGACTAGACCAGTGGACTGGTCACCTCCCATCGTCAGCCTAGGTTTGAATTCCAGCACATGCGTGTTGGAGGGACGCGCACGTCCAAACCGTGGCAAGTAGTATAGAAAAAACCAGTTCTGGCGAATTGCAGGTTATGACTCATCAAAGCTCCAAAATCCAGGTATTACCATACAGGTTTAAGCAGAAAAATTATTTTAATAGTGTAACCCAGCTCTTGTTTTTCACCGACCGTGGTTCATCCCTGACGGAGATTAGGGTCGATGTGAGGTCAGATGGACCAAGGCCCCGCGTTCTGCCCGTCCTTACTTTCACATGTTGTTTTTCCCATGAAACTTTAAAATCAAACTGGTATTTTTTGTTCCCCAGCACAGATGGATTAAGGAAATTGGATTAATACTTTTGCTTATTGCACATATTTTCTCAGGGTTTGTGTTGTGAGAAATGTCTGAATCTATATACCGTGGAAATAACGATACGTGAGAGTCTTCACAGTGCTCGAGGGTTGCCCGAGGCTTTGTCTGCACATCACCCAGTTCCGTTCTTGTGGTTTAATTCTGGCGGGATGAGCCCCAGACGGTAGCTTCCCACTGGCAGTGAAAACATTCATTCAGCCTCAGGACGTTTCGCCGCACCAGAAAACTGAGATCTGAACTCGAACCCAGGCCTCTGCTGCCGGTCAAGAACAGCTTAGAGATGTTGGAAAGTCGTAATTTTTTTTTTCCTTTAACATAATACAGTTTCAGAGCTGAACAGCCCCTTAATGATCAGTTATTCCAGGGATCGGCACATTTTTCTGGAAAGGACATACGGTAGATATCTTTGCCTTTGCAGGCCATGCAGCACTTACCTGTCACAAATACCCGCGTCTGACCTCGCAGTGCGGAAGCGAACGGCACGGGGCAGGAGTGGCGCCCGCAGAACTTTATTTACAAACAAGCCGCAGGCGGGTTGGCCCGCGGGCTGCGGTTCACAATCCCTGGTCTGCTCTCTCCGGCCTCACTGCTGAGGAGCAAACCTCAGTCACTCTAGAGAGTTTGTTAGGCTTGTCCAGGCTTCTTGGAGACCAGCAGTCTGTTTCATCTTCTGCTTTTGGTTTTAATATCGCTCTCGGAGGAGCCGTTCGGTACGATCAGCCTAATGGGCAGAGTTCGCTCTGCTCAGCACGGATGTGCAGATGCTGTTCTGACTGGCCTTTCCCCCGTGCCCACGGACTTCGTTCAGGTAGCCGACGATGTCTTGTGCCGAAAAAGGTGCCTTGATTGTGTCTTTCTCTGGAGACGTGCAGCCAGCCTGCCCCTTGCGGACCCACCGTTCTTCGAGACCCTTCACCCTGCAGCGTCGTAAAACAAAGTCTTTAGTAAGCAGACTTGGCAGGAACTGCACCAACTTCATGCTGCAACGAAGACTCCCGACAGGTCACAGGAAATCTCGCAGTTGTTCTCTCCCTTCCATGTTCCCAGGGAGCCGTGATTAATTTCGGGTTGGTACTTACACTTACCATCAAGAATAAAATATTTGTAGAATTAGGTTATGTAGTTTTCCTTTTATCCTTCTTTGGGAGAAGATGCAATCTGTTTACATAAAATAGTGTAATATACAGCAACTGAATATTTTCCAAGTGCTTTTGATTTGTAATTCGAGTGTGGATTCTGCTGGCAACCTCATAAGGCCAGGATTTTACTTCTACAATTGGCGTCCTAAGATTTGATTTTAGAAAACCTATCTTTATTGCGTTTTCTGCTCCTAAAGGACTCTGTGTTTTATATTAGTGTCGGGCCAGTTGCGCTCCTCCACGGTGCTTGGCGTTTAAACTCGAAGATTAAAAACAAGATAGAAAAGCTTTCTGCTTGGAGTTTTCCCTGCTCTGTGTGTGTGTGCGCGCACTCTTCAAGACTTAAAATATTAACTATTTGTTAGCAATCCAACCACATTGTTTTCAATTTTGGATGAAATTTGATAATACACGTACTTCTAATTTAGCTGATTTTCTTCCTCATCAAGGAAGAAGTTGAAACTATTTGCGCATCATTATAAAACTCCCCTTAGGAGGGAAGCCGCAAAAATGAACCCTGGGGTCTCTGTTTGTGTCTGTGCTCTGGTTTTGCTGTCTCTGCTATGATAAACGAGTTCCTATATGATCAAACAAAGTTGAAAGCCTGGTGGTTGCTATTGGGAAAATATAAAATGCAGAATGAAACGTAGTATCAGGCTATAGCCTTCTCCATTTGTAGCAGACTAAAAGTAAACACAAAGTCAAGGGGAAAGGCCAGAATATATCGTACATATAATTTAATGTTGGATTGGTATTCAAAGATGAAGAAGAAAATGTTTTAGGAACTTCACAAAAATAATTTAGATACTAAGGCATTTTGATAATCAAGTGTTGAGGATTATGAAGAAGAAAGAAAAGAACGGTTCTTTGTCCTTGAATAGAACAACGTTTGCAAGCTTTTGTAAACATTTTTAGAAAGTACTTAGAACACTGAAGTTAGGTGAATGGAAAGAAAAACAAGGAAAAAAAACTTCAAAGAAGGAAGACAAAAATAAGTGAACGATTCTATTAAACAAAACGAAATTATGCCACAACTTAGTGTGTTACGTGTAAAACCCAGTGTACTTTGTTATCATTCCTGGATTCCATCTCTGTGTCACCAGGAAAGTACATGTTCATCTGTGGACACATCCGAAGCCAACTTGGTGACCATTTGATTAGTGGTCACTCCGGCGCCTGGTGCAAGGTGCCAAGAGAAGTACTTAATACTGCGTCTTCGTTTTGGGAAGGATCGAGCTGGTTTGGCCATACCTGGTGGTCACCTTTCTGTTAGATACTGTGCTCGGGAAGGGGGAGAAGAATATGTTTTCCAGCACAGAATTGGTGGTGCTTTCCTGGAATAGGGATTTCAGATTGAATGATAATATGCATGTTCCCTCCCTCCTTTGCACCCTCTCCCTCCTTCCCTTCCTTCCTTTCTTCCTTTGTTATTCCTTGAGAGTTCTCTTAGGTTCAGCTTTTTATACTGTCGCAAAAGGATTCTTTGAATATTGCTACAAACTATAGTTTTATAGTAAGAGCATTTCAAATACTCATGATTTGTTGCTGTTGGCCAAAGTCCATTTGAGTTTTTAGAGTAACAAACAGGTTCACAATGAGCTCTGAGTATCTCAGATATTTTAAGCATGATAGAGTTAGAATGAATATTAAAAAAAATTCCAGATGGATTTCACTGCATCCAGAGAAGTGCATTTCTCCTATTAGTTTGGCTCTGCTTTTGGTGTAATCAAATTAAAGAAAGAGTTAATTATTTGAAAAGTATAGTCCTTTCATAAAGCAGTAAGAAAGTTGTCTTTCCTGGAATTGTTCTTGAATTATTTTTACAAAAACAGTGTCATTCCAAAACGAAGTGTAGAATAAAGGGTTATGTACGAAATCATCTAACTTGAAAGGTCTTTGAATGTATATCCCTGGGTCGAGAGAGGCATGGTGACATCTGCCTTTGATTATCGTTGGATGGATAAATTTGAATTCTAGGGCTGTATTGAAAACATGTCAACATACACAGTGATATTATGTTCTGGGAACATGGCACACAGTGGTTATTTTTAACATAATTACAGATGTCTGGTCGTCCTTTAAATAAATTATTAAGAAAAAGACATTCATGGAAAAATGGGAATTCCCCATGGTTCAAATCAGGTTTATTTTAGGAAAATTCAAAATAAAGTATTTGAATCCAGATTTTTGTTTGCTTTACAATTGTTCAAATTAACTTCGCAGAAACTTAGGGTTAACTGGTGAAATGTTTAGTTTGTTCAACTATTAACATTGTGCATCTGCTGACATTGTTACACATTAAAGAGAGTGAGAAAATGTGAGTTTGAAATGTTTGTCAAGAAAAGATGTCAGGGTGATAGGACTACGGGAAAAGAATTCGCTTTGAACGTGCCGTCGCTGAGCACCCGGCTTCCTCCCTCCAGCAGTGGAGTCGCGCGTGGTCGTGGCCACCTCTGCTCTGAGCAGTGTTTCCCTCCCCTCGCAGATTGTTCTGAACTTCACCACCATGGACCTGTACAAGAGCAGCCTGTGCTGGTACGACTACATCGAGGTCAGGGACGGCTACTGGAGGAAGTCGCCCCTCCTGGGTAAGAGACCCGTCTCCCGCCTTCCGTCCTGTCCATTGTGACCGCGCCTCGCGATGCTTCCGCGTTTTTAACTTCAGAGTCATGGCTTCGACTCTAAAAAATCCAAAGGCATCGAGCGTGCGTACGTTGTGTGTGCGTGAGTGTGGTTGGAGTTTCTGTAAGGCAGCGGAGTGTGAGCTGTTAGGTGCGCAGCTGGTCGCTGGCCTCCCCTGCCAAGCACGCCAGCTCTCGCTACAGACATCACAGTTTTGCTTCTCAGAGAGTTTTGTGGCTCAGCAGAGGCATTTGTAGTTTTTGTCATAAATTGTAGCTCAGATCTGGGGCTCAGGAAGGGCTGCTGCCAGCGTCTGACCACAGACCACGCTTGGCTCACAGAAGGCAGCGCGCTGTTGCCCTCCGTTTACTTAGAGGTGAGAGCTATTGTGGGCGGGTAAGCATCTACTCTGCATCGATCTTTTTTTTTTTTGAGATTGTGACTTTTTCTTTATTTTTAGAAGTAGCTTTGCTTGGTTGTGTTTATGTGCTGTACTGATCTTTTCTTTTTAACCGCTAAAACCTGCTGAATGAACACCATTGTATTAAAAGTGCCAGAGCCTTAGCAAATCCGAGAACTTTGTAGAAATGTTTAAAAATAAGAGAAAAATAGAGAACTGAGTTAATGTAAGGTTGAGGAAAACAGCCTCAGGTCGGGTTGAGGAAAACATTGTCTTCGGCATTGAGTTTTTAGCTGAGATGAAGCCATTTGTTATGTGTACGTGCAGTCCAGAGAAAATACTTCATTGAACTCATTAGAGATTCAAATCTAAAGCCAAAGTTTTGGAAAGCGCTTTCTCTTAGAGCACTGCGAGCGTTGCACGGCTTACTGTGAACCGGTCTCCCAGAGTGACCCGTGATCGTGGTGGGAAGCCAGCCTTTCCCGCCATTTCTTCTAAGACCCTGCTCTGAAAGTGTAGCTCGATGGGCAGCTCCAGACTCACCTGGAAAGCGGTTAGAATCGTAGAAACTTGGCCCCACTGCAGACTCTCTGAGTTAGAGACCGCACGTTGATAGTCTTCCTGGAAATCCGGATGCGCGCTGAGGTTTGAGAAGCGCGCCCTGGGCCGCGTGCCTCTGGCTGACGTTGCAGTGTGGGAGGGCGTCTCTCCACCGTCAGCTGCTAGGGGCGAACGTGCTGTGTGCGAGTCGGCTGCCCTTTCTGTGTGTGTTGTTCCCAGGGGCACACAGAAACGGATAGCAGCGTGATGCGTTCGTGGAATTATTCCACGTCTGTTGTCATAGTTAACCCTCTTGTCATGTGAAAGCTTGGAGCACAGAGGCAGACGCGTCTAACAACAAGCAATGTGTGTTTCTGGAAGGGTGGGGAGGAGAGGGGGGGCGGCGCATGCTGTCACGCTCTCACACGGGCCTGTGGACGCAGACGCAGAAAGAACCGGAGCCCACTCACAGGTCCTCTGGCACCGGTGCTCTCCTGCCTGTGACATGCAGGTCATACCGTTAAAGATGAGAGGGAGCGTGCTCAATAACACGAGATACTTGGAGATTTGGAGTTGCTTAGGGGTTTTCCTGAGGCATCACCCTTGAACCTGGCGAGATGAGAACTCCACTCTGAGCGGAGAGCACGTCCGTAACCGAGTTTCTCCCCGGCTAGTGGCCAGACGGACAACGTGAAACCGTTCCTCAGGGTGACTCGTGCCTCTCTCGTTCCATGTGGAATGACGTTCCCCACCTGGACACATCACGGGACCCTTTACAGCCACGCCCTGAATTCCACACAGTGTAACGATGCTGACGTCAGTCAGCCAATCTGAGGCTGGTGGTCAAATTCTCTACAAGTAGACATGGAGAGATTGTTTTATTTATCTACCGTTATTACGTGTTAAGGCTCAGTTATGACTCTAATCACGGGATAGAAATAGGAACCCAATCATTGCTTAGCTATATTATTTGTAGCTAGTATGAAAAGCAATTAGAATATAGAGTCATATTTAGGCATCTCTTTTTACTTTTTATTTCTTTTAGGTAGATTCTGTGGAGACAGAGCGCCTGAAGTTCTCACCTCTACGGACAGCAGAATGTGGATCGAGTTTCGGAGCAGCAGTAACTGGGTGGGAAAAGGCTTCGCAGCTGTGTACGAAGGCAAGTCACCTTGAATTTTAGAAATTAGTTCATCGCAGATCTCTCAACAGAAATGTCCTTCCTTTCAATTTCATCGCAATGGTATTGTAACCGTATTTTAAAATCATGAAGTTTTCTGAACCTGCATTATATATAAGTGAGGATGATTTTAGTAACAATAGCCAGTACATCTGAATTGCAAGGACGACCTATTTCCTGGTATTGGTGATGTAATAACATCTGTTAACCAGTGTGCTCAGGGATGTGCGGGAAGACACAAATGGCGCAAGAGTTCTTAAATTCCGTTTCATGACGGTGCTAAAATATTATGAGAAATTATCATTTTCGTTTGTGCTGATTTTGTGTCTGTTTAGACCCTGTGTTTCTGAACTGCTCTAGTATAAGAAATTGCACAGGAAGTAGCCGTGCACATTTCCGGAGTGTCCTTTGTCTAAGTAGGAGAGTTGGCACTCGAGGAGGAGCTTACCCAGAGCTTCGCTCTCTCCTCTCCAAAGCAGGGAGCTGGCAGCGCTTCCTGGCTGTAGGAAAGCTCCTCTCTCCACAGCTTGTGGGTGGAGACCCGTCCTCCCGTGGGAGTTTAGGTAATTTCGCAGACAGAAGATTTCGGCTTCCCTTGAACGTTTAGGTGAACGGAGGCATTTTGTTGTGAAGATTAACCGCGGGGCAGCGAGGACCATCACAGGGTGGGAGTGTGACCCGAGCTCGCTGCCAGAGACCCAGCGAGTCCCGCAGGGGGAAGCTTCTCCTCACCTGCCGTCAAATCACCAAACGAGACATTTCAGGGCATCACAGAACAAACTCGCATAGAGTAAATTTACAAAATCGCCAAAGGTTTTTAACAGTTAAAAAATACTAAAATACATTTTTGGTAAGATGTGATATAATGACAATTAAAAACTATATTTTCCCTGGCTGATTATTGTCTAGCGTTTGTAGGTGAGTGGCCGGGGTTTTACCCTCCGAGTATTCGCCCCAGAACAAGCAGCCGGCCCTGAGCGTGGCGACCTGGTCTGCGCTCGGCCGCAGGAACTGAGCTCACACACGAGCAGGTGAGCGTGCGGCGGCGCGTCTGGTTCACCCGTTTGCTCCTTTCTGCTTTCCGCAGCCGTCTGCGGGGGCGAGATCCGCAAACAGGAAGGGCAGATCCAGTCCCCGAACTACCCCGACGACTACCGCCCCATGAAGGAGTGCGTGTGGAGGATCACCGTGTCCGAGGGCTACCACGTCGCGCTGACCTTTCAGGCCTTTGAGGTAAAGTCTCCGAGGCAGTCTTTGCGGGCGCATTCTCCATAAATGGCAGCGGCGTTTACGGGAACCCTCGTTAAACCAGCAGAGAAACGGGGAGCCAGCCTTTTAATCAGCCGAGAAGCAAAGGATCCTATAAAACGTAACATCAAGAGAGAAAGGATTTTTTTCCTTCCCTCTTGTCGCAGGCGTTTTCAGGAAGATGAAAGTGAGTTTACATTGTCTGTGCTGTGTGAGCGAGGATGTTTGAAGTCCTGACAGTGGTGTGTTTTGACAAATAAATGTGCAGGCTCATTTTACAAGGCCGCTCGGAGGGTCCGTTGGATAATGGAGCCTTTACTCCTAAACTCAGAGGTCAGAAGGCAGACAGTCTGTCGTCAGGAGAGTAATCCATTTTCACCTTTTTTACAATTGCGCAGATAATTCTTTATATCAAAAATGGGGGTTCAAGTGTTCTTAGGAGCTTTCGACTTTCTCAGAGATACTCGCCAGGGATCGGCCACGCGGCTGCGCGATTAAGTGAAGGGCCGGGAGGAACCAAAGGCCAGTCAGGATTTTGGATCAAAGTCCGGATCCGAAACTTGCAGGGAGGCCAGTGGATCATTTCTGTGGGACGAGAGGAGCCGAGTTAGGGACTAGAAGCCAAGAAGTGGGAGCATTTGTCAGGGACTCCAGAGCGCGTTTAAATCGGAGTCAGTCTGTACGTTGAGTCCAGGGCGAAGCGGGAGGGACAGGGGTGGCCGTGACAGGTCCTGGCAAGAGTTAAATATGTAGGTGCCGTAACTGGAGGTTGTTTCATCACTGAGGAGAAGGTTGGTTCACTGCCCAAGTTCACTGCCTAAGTCAGAAGGCAGAAGGAATTCCCACCCCCTGCCAGCAGATGCGGAGTGCCGTGACCGCAGCCTCGTCTCTGTGCCCGCGGCCGCAGGAGCCGGGTCCGGCGTTGCCCGTGAGCCCAGGGCCACGCCCTCACCTGCGCGCCTGTGCGCTGTGTTTCTTTGGTACTTGTCCCTATCCTCCTGCGTGTACTATTTAACTTCCCAGACATATTTCCCTTTACTATGAGAAATACATATTTTCTGCTTTGATCATGGTGTTGTATTTTGTGCTCCTGACCCTTTTTGCATTTTTGGAGACCTTGGTTCTGAGACTATTTGATTCACAGTTGAATTTTGTTATTTTAATGGACCAATGTTCAAATAGGCCAGTTTATTGTTAACAGTGAACTAAAATTGGATAGAAAATTTCACCCACAACTTAGATGAAAACAGCTGGTTTGAAGAAAAATTATCTACCCAATGGCCATGTTACTGTGTTTTGTGATGTTTCTAGAATTAAGAGAATAACTGTCTTTGATCTATGACTCAGTGTTTTGTGGAATTCTCCCATGACAGGAGGATGCCGGAGGACGCGTGCACGCCTGAGTCTAAACCTGAGGTGCAGGGAACTGCTGGCTTGGTTGGTTTGCAGCTTTATTATTTTGATTTACCAATATCGTAACAGCGGCATTCTACAAAAATAGCATAACACAGGACAAATAGAAAGGATTCCCGGCTGAGACACTCAGAGCTGTGCCCGACGCATAGCAGTCCCTTACCAGTACTTGTGGACGGTGTGAACAGACGATCGCCGCGCCTCTGGGGACACGTCACGTCGTGATTGGGCTGGGAGCGCGTTTTGTGTGTCATCTCCGGTGTCCTGTCCTCTTAATTGTTCTTTATTTCCTCTGTTTCTGCCTCCTTCCTTGGTATGCTGGACACATGTCAACATCTAGCAGGCCTCTCATCTTTAAGTGAGCAAGCACTGGGCGGTTCTGACTGGCTAAACCCGCTCTTCCGCAGTTTACTTCCGTGTTACTGCAGTACTGGGTTTCACCATTTACCCAAGGAACACCCATAATTCCACTTTTCTCCTGAAACCTGCGGCCAGTCCGTCAACACATGGCAGTTGCTTTGCGGTCAAAACGTACCCGCACGCGGTGACTTTATGCGGCACGGTGCCCACCCTACCCCTTTGCTTGCGACCTACGATGAGCCTCCCGCCCCTGCCCTGACCCCGCAGGTGCTGCTCTCGCGCAGCAGCCGGGGCGCGTGAGATCTCGCCGCTGCTCTGCGCAGCGGTCTCCGCCACTTCTAAGACAGAATCCAGACGTGGTTACCACGCACGGGCAGCCCACGTCAGCCCTGGTTCCATCCCTGCCGTGTCGGTCCTCTGGGCTCTTCCTCCTCCTCAGAAACAGCGCATCACACCCTCGCCGCTGGTGTGCTCTGTCTCGAGGGCTTCGCTTCTGTGCCTCGCCACCTCCGCTCAGATTTCTGCCTGATCACCGCCTTCTTGAAAGTTCGTGCCTGACAACGCTATTTAGATATTTTCTTCCCTACAATTATCTCTAAACCATTCACTCTGCTTTATTTCAGTTCATGGCACTCACGACGACGGGAATTTATGCCCTGTTCGTTTATGTGGTTATTACCTGTCCCACAGGGCGTGACCTCCACAGGGCCTCCCTCGCCTGTCCCACAGAGCGTGACCTCCACGGGGCCACTCTCGCCTGTCCCACAGGGCGTGACCTCCACGGGGCCGCTCTCCCCTGTGTAACCGATCACTCTTATCACCAGCACCAATGGTTGCGTGATTAATATTTGATTGTAGGAGAGACGAACGGACGGATGGATTAGATGTGAATGTGTGAATGAGAATTAACACACCCTTTCTTTACTAAAGGTGCGCGAGTTTCCGTGTGAAGGGAAGCCAGCCCGGGCAGGTGAGAGGGAGTGGAGGATGGAGGACCCGGTGTGCTGTGTGAGTGGGTTTAGATGAGAGATCCCGGGTTCCAGGAGATTCGGAAATGACAAGGATGTAGAGGCGTTCTCCCTCACATACCCTCTAAATCTTCACATGAGGAAACTGAGCTCACGCCATTGACCTGGTATCATACAGGTGCGTGATAACCAGCATTGAAACCCAGGTACAGTTGATTCTGATCTTATTTGCAAATTTGCTACTCTGATTTTTGTGAGCCCAAAATGAGTGCCCTTGGCGCTTTCTGGGGCACCCACAGAGCACATTTGCGTCACCGACACGCACATCTCAGCCGTGATGTTCCTTCCTGAGAAAGTGTGGGTCAGATGAGCTTCACTCAGGCATGAGCTGTGGTGCCGTTGGGCATGAGCTCAGTGATAACGAATCGACAGTTTATATTAATGTGTCTTTAAACAGAAACACACGTAAAACAAGGTTACGTATTGATTGGTTAACAAAAATTTTGTGACTATAATCTTGCAGGAACCTTAATCCTAGGAGCGGTGACTCAGTGTTTGCTAATTCCAGGTTTCAGTCATGTCACAGAGCATAACTGCTGTGAGCATAAGAATCAGCTGCATATTTTAATCTTTTCTTATTCTGCTAGTCATTAGGTGGTTTAATTTGGTCAGTTATCTGCTTATATCAATTTATTTTTGTTTATATAATGGTTCAATATGCAGATTTTATATTTTATGTTGAAAATGTGTAATTAAAGGAGACGTCCTCATTCTTAATGTTCTGTGGTTTTGTCTGACAAAGCAGTTTTATTCACCGATTCTAGTCTTTGCCTTTTTTCAAAAACTGTCTGCATTTTTGTTTTTTATCTCTGTGTTGCCACTGAGGTAAACTTGACTGTCATTCTTTGCAATCTACTGGAAAAAACTTATTTGCTGTCCATCATTTGTACCTTCCTGTCAGTTCCTGTCACGGCTTTGCCCTTCCTGGTGCTACTTGGGTTTTAATGTTCGGTGCAGGAAGAAAGTCCGAGTTAGCGCCTTGCTGGTGGCGCCCAGGCATCTCTGAGCAGGAAGGGGCGCTGCTTGGAGGATAATGGGACACTGGTACTTCTGTTGTTATGCCGTCTGGAAAGTGCCATGGTCTGAATGTTTGTGTCCTTCCAAAATGTATATATTGAAATCTTAACCCCTAAAGTGATGATATCAGGCAGTGGGGCCTTGCGGGAGTGATGAGGTCGTGCGGGTGGGGCCTCACGAACGGGGTTGAAGCGCGCTGGGAAGGCACCGTCCACGCAGGGGCCATCAGGAGACTCTGAATGTGCCGGCGCCTGGTCTTGGACTTCCCAGCCTCCAGGACGTGAGAAATAATGTTTCTGTTGTTTGTAAGCTGCCGTCTGTGGTGTTTTCTTACAGCATCTGGAATGGGCTAAGACAGGAAGCTTTTCCTTCTCTAGGCGTTGCGGGGTACATCGTTTCATAGCAAGTCCGATACCGTGTAGTGAGTTTGTATACAAACATAGAGCCCCTCCCAGGTGAATTTGGAAAGCCATCCTCTGTTCAGCAGCAGGGTCGTTTGTAAGGAAGCTTCTAGTACTCCTATTTTGTTTGAGAACTTTCAGCATGCAGAAATACAGACAAGAAAATGTTTGGGAGACTGGAAATGTTTATAGTAACAACTTCAAAGAAATGTCAATAAAGCAGAAAAGAAGTGAAATAAATCCGGAGCTTACTTTTGTTTAAATTCAAATCCCCACATACATTAATTCAAGTAGGATTAAGTCTGAGGTCCTTGTCAACATCACTGCACACTCTGATCTGGCGATACTTCCCTTATGAGACCCGGAGATGCTTAACAGCCTCAGCCGTCGCTGCTGCCGGCTGTGGCTTTCTGAACTGTGTGCTTCAGTTTGCATCTTGGCACTCGGTAGATTGCCTATCTAAAAGTAATCCTTTAAATCCCTTAAATATTTTTTATTAGTTTACGATAAGTAGACTAGTCTTTGTGAATGAACTAAGAAGTTGAGATAAGGAGGTTTTAATTAGTTAACGATTTTCTGCTAGCTGTGTGCTATTTCTGGGTGCTCAGCTAAGAGTATTGGTAATGACTATAACAGAAGAGTTAAGTAGCTCTTCGTGAATTATGGTTTAGGCTATAATTGTATCCGAAAGATTAGCATTTGTTAGTTTAAATAAACTTGCCCAAGATCACGTAACCGGTAGCACTGTGATTGAAACCAAGGCAAGGTCTGTGCATTATGTCACTGCGTCCTGCTAGCAAAGAGAGGCGCTGGTGTTTTATCACGGAATTCGACTCTTCCTATCGTAACTCTCTCCGTGTGCACCCTGTGCTGTTGAATCACCTGTGTCAGTCAGGGACGTGTCTGTTTATTCACCACTGTTTACATACTGTGGCCAGATAATACGCACTTGATAGGATGTGCATATCATCTCACCATAGCAGGTTTTCAATAAAATTATGAAACGCATGAGTAAATGCAAGATTCTTGTGTCGTGGAGGATAAAAATGAAGCGGCAGTATTTAAATAAATGATTCACATGAAAATAAACCTAAGAAAGACTTAGGCTGTTGATTTTAACATGTTTGAGCATTATTTTTTCTCCCTATTTTTTAGCTGTAATTATCTATGTATTATTATACTATTAGTTTAATATTAAATATTACTAATAATATTATGAAATAAATATAAAATTAAAGACAGTTATCTATGTATTAAACTTTTTCCTTTTTTATTCAGAATTTTTTTGTTCATAGCATTGGAGTTTACTAGATTTTTTTCATTAGTCATAGTTTTCTTTAACATTTTCCTCAAATGCAAAAAATTTTGCTTTAACGTTGCTCCAAGTGTCTATCATTTTATATGATATTAGCTATGAAAGTTGTATCAATTTGATAGCATTAATCATATCTGATTGCATAAATTGTATTTTAAAACTATGTTGTAACAGTCATGGGGGTATTTTTTTATTATAGTAAAATATACATAACGTAGAATTTACCATCTTAACCATTTTTTATGTGTACAGTTCAGTGATGTTTAGTGCATTCATTGTTGTGCAGCCAATCCCCAGACCTCTCTTTCATCTTGCAGAGCTGAAACTCTATACCCATTAAACAGCAATTCCCCTGACTGCCCTCCCCGGGATTCTGGCAACCAGCATTCTTTGTCTCTACGTATTTGACTACTCCTAGGTACCTCATATAAGTGAATCATGCAGGATTTATCCTTTTTGTGACTGGCTTATTTCCTTGGCATAATGCCTTCAAGCTCCACTCATGTCGTAGCATATATCAAAATTCCCTTCCATTTTAAGGCTGAAGAGTATTTTATTGGATGTATACACTGCATTTTGTTTATCCTTCCATCTGTCAAGAACACTAGGGTTGCTCCCACCTTTTGGCTGTTGGGAGTGGTGCCGCTGTGAGCACGGGTGTCCGACTCTCGGCAAGACTACGCTTTCATTTCTTTTGGGTGTTTACTCAGAGGTGGTGTCGCTGGGTCACATGGTATTATAATTCTATTTTTAATTTTTCAGGGATCATGGGACACCTTTTACCGAACCTGTTATCTGGAAATTTTGGAGTTTTGAGAGCTTTTTGTAGATAATTTGGCACCGCAATAGATGTTTGTGCAATGCTGCATTTATTTGGAAATTTGAGGGTGGAGCGTGTGCCTGCTCCCCAGGCCTGCGTCTCCCCGGGACGGTCTCCCTCAGTGCTAACGCTCCCCACGTGCCCTGACCCTAAGCTCTGCACAGGTGGGCAGTTTCAGAATGAGAGGTCGACCACCTTTGGTTAAATTTAACTTATTTTAGTTCTTTTAGATAGAAATCACTCACTTTTCCTGTGGTTCCTGTCCACCCTGCAATTAAAGATATGAGTAATGAAATGTAATACTAATCCCTCCGGCCAGTCTCTGTCCTCGTTCTTGCTTCTCTGTGTGTTCGGATCTACTTCCAATACCATTTAAGTATCAGTTTTCTGAAAAATGTCCAGAGCTTACTCCCACTTCCACCGTATTCTCTCTGTACTTATCAGTTCTGTTTCTGTCATGATAAACTTGCCACATTCGTTTATGGCTTATATCTAATTACCTTACAGTCTGTAATAAATCAGCATCATCTTATCAAAACGTAATTATTGTGTGTAATTGTGTGTGACATCATGTTTAGCTCCCAGCCTTTTGAACTGAGTCCCTGCTTTAACTCAGGAAGAAACTGCTCTTTCTTTCTTTCCCTCTTTTTTTCCTTCCTTCCTTTCTGTTTTTTCTTAAAGTCATTGACCTTGGTGTTTTTTTTCTCCTGGAGCGTAAGGTTACTGGCATAACATTAGTGAACCCGATTCACGTTCTAGCTTCAACTATATTTATTTCTATCCATTCCATATATTAATCGATGAAGTAATTTGATACAGTGGGAGGAAATGACACAAATAAAATAACTCAAACTTTGATTTGTGCTTACTGTTACTCCTCCTGTGTAGATGTGGTTGATGAAATAGTTATAATTAACTATACTTAATAGTTGTAATTAACATCAGTAGAGAAGATTCATCATGCAGGCGTTGCACTTAAGATAAAACTGAAAAAATACGTAACCAAAGACTGTTCAGGTCATTGGTGAGATACATAAGATTCCTGTTGTGAAGGCGTAATGTATTTCTGAGTATCATGAACTTGTGTAGATGAGGCGTGTATTCCTTTCTAAGCAACTCGGCAACTGTAGCAGTTTCTATGTGAGAATTCAGTGCATATTTCTATTTTGTTATCCCGATAGCAGGTGCATAATATTTAATATGTAAATAATGCATAATTGATAAAGAGGGACTAGTGGAATTCATCCTAAAATTAGTTATTTTTACCCATGAAATATTTACACTTTGTGTATCTTATAAAATATTTAAACCTCCAATTTTTACTAAATAACCAGTGAATATATTGTGAATTAAAATTTAAAGTGATGTATATCTGTTAAAAGAACAGAGTGAGTTTTATGGACCAGGCAATATAAATTATCCCATTTCTTTCTTTCTTTTTTTTCTTAGAGACAGAGTCTTGGTCTGTCACCCCAGCTAGAGTGCAGTGGCATCATCCTAGCTCACAGCAGCCTCAAACTCCTGGGCTCGAGCGATCCTCCTGCCTCAGCCACCTGAGTAATTGGGACTGCAGGCGTGCGCCACCATGCCTGGCTAATTTTTTCTGTATTTAGTAGAGACGGGGTCTCGCTCTTGCCCAGGCTGGTCCAGAACTCTTGAGCTCAAGCGATCCTCCCGCCTTGGCCTCCCAGGGTGCTGGGATCACAGGCGTAGCCAGAGCAAGAGCAGATACCATGTTCGTTACAACAAAGGGGTCCATTATCCGTTCTGTGGTTGGGGAAAAGGAGGAAGCAAATGTAGTACTTAGTTTTCACTAAATCTGTGCTTCAGAATCTGTTATTTTTATTTTTCAGTTTGTCCTTATGCTACCCAATTTAAAGATTATCCTCATTAATATGTTAATAAATAGGAAACAGATTTTTCAACCAATCGTACCAGCAGTTTCCTGCATTCGGGTTGTGTAGTTCCATGGATGTTCTCTGACATTCCACGACATCCCCCCCACGTGTCTTAACATCAGCAACAGGAAAAGTCCTTAAGTTAAG